GCTTGGTCTCCAATTCAAATTGAGTCTTTGACAAATTAAATCACATGATCTAATTTTTTATATATGTGGTGGCAAGAATCTTGCCACCACTGGTGGCTGCAACATGATCATACACACACTTTTCTCTGCCTCTGATTGGCTGATTTGTGATTTATTTACTGCAAATATATCCTTTTTGTTTACGCAATAGAGACGAGCAGAATAGTCACATGCTCTCCTAGATGGCAGCAAAGGGCTATTTAAAAACTAAAAAAGAATGCAAGAAGCAAATGTGTCATAAAAAGCTTGACACTAGTTTTAGTGGCATTTTAATGTAATTTTCTTTTTTTAATATTTTTCCTTTGATTTTTTTTTTTTTTTTTTTAGATCCGGGAGAGTGTGGCGCAGGAGGTCCGGCAGGAGATCTACAGTGAGTTGCTGGCTGCGGTTACACCGCGGGACTCACCTCTGCCCAACAGACAGAAATATCTGTAGTCAATACAAAACATGAAACATCACATTTTTGCCAACGGCCTTAAAAGCCACCACCTGATCAGCACCACTGTCTGTCTGTAACACTGTTTAGCGGAGTAACACTGTCTGCATGGAACACTATGTGTCTGTAACACTGTATGTCTGTAACACTGATGACCTAATGAACGCCTACATGTGAGGATCCTCGCCCACATCTGATAGACTCTGAACTGAGGATGTGCAATGCATGCTGGGAACGCTACCCTCGGCCACCTTATTCACTCTGCCTCCTTGTTAAGAAAATGTGTGAGTTTTTTTTTCACTACACTTGTTTATTTGTGTTTTCTATACTTTTGAAGTCAGGCTAAAACTACGACCACTGTCACTAATACTATGAAAACACACTATGAACTGCTAGCACTGCTTGCCACACTGCTGCATTTAACACCAATAACAGTTTAACATCTGAAGGTGTCCAGACCCTGTTCCTAATCCCAATGCCGGCTCGGATCAATATAACTGGGAGAGTTGCTGTCATTAATGTATTTCTATATAATTCTGCTGCAATACTGAAAAGGCTGATTTTAGCCTTAACTGTGTTGCAAAAGCAGCACATGGGAGCTCCTTTTTTGACAGTTGTATACAAGCTTAAATCATTTTATTTTATGCATTTGTGCGTTTTACAAACAGTCATTTCTCAACGTCAGAAGGGTCTGCTGGGGTCAAACTGAGCTTAATTACATAGGATTATTCCATGCACATTTCATCTTCACATGAAAGGGCTTTAGATGTTTTAAGGTAAATCATTACTGTGTTAGCAGGCATGGTCAACATTCCATCATCATCACTGTCATCATCATCCTCAATATCAATTTGCATCATTCCAGAGTTTCCCAAACTTACAAAAGCACTAAACTTTAAGGACCCAATAAAATTTTGCACATAATTGTATCAAAAGATCTGTACGTTAATTAGATTGGAACTATTTAATCTTGTTTTATCTCATGTTCTATGCACAACATGAGAAAATCGAGATTATAAGGTGTTAGCCATTTTTGGTAATTGAGCAAAAAGTAGCAATACTTCCTCATACCACAGTTTGGTTTTTTTAGTATCACTTTCACCATAAGTTATGAGCATCCGTTTTTTTGTGCAGTCTGTTGTTTGCTGGTGTTCTCACAGTCGGCATACGTTAGGTGTGTTGATCACAGTAACATTCTCAACTAAGTATGTTTCAGCAGTGTAGCTATAAATCCTGTACAAGTACATTACGCAGACTTATACAGGAAGGAATAACGTACAGCTGATAAAACTCATTGGTTGTAAATAAGCAGGTAGTGAGGTCAGTGTGTGATGTGATGGGTCAAAGTTGTAGGTCAGAGGTTACTCTATGGTAGCAGCAGCAGCAGGTAATGTGAAGTTGTCATAGATGTGGTGATGATGATGATGATGATGATGATATGTGAACAGAGGGAGCGAGGAGTTCAGTGCTGGCGGTATAGGCCAAACCTTGGCAGTGTTGGCATGTTAGCTTGACGCTGGCTGGTGACAAAACCGTGCAATAATATTCAAAAATAGTATATTTAGATAAAATTATTTTTAAGATTACAGTTTATTAAAAAGACTATTAAAACATTTCAGATGTGATCAAATAACATCCTGAATCACTTGCTTCTGTACCACAAGTTTCCGAAGACAAGTCGATCTCAGTAACTCCAATAAAATATACTTTCACTATCTACAATAGCTGGGAGCCACTCACAATTCTTTTGTTTTATTGTCTTCATGTAAGAATGTCAAATTTACTTTACACATGTTCATTTTTGTCTTTCTTTAATTCACATCCTTGTTGATATTTGGGAGAAATTTGAAGGGAAACACCATCAAAAGTAATTTTACAAGTATCTCAATTTTATTTGGTCAAGTTAAGGTGTCTCCACTTGATCTTAATGTGAACTCTCCATCATGTGAATTCACCACATACCTGTAAGGAGACTTTTGATCTTTGATTCCAGTCATTGTTTATGATCCTTGTGTTTGCAGAACATGTTTTTGTTTTCTTTTTTAATTTTGTCTGCTGGACACTTACTGTGAGCTCAGTTGCTCCCCACGGTGTTCACTTTACTTTGTGTTTTTATACTGATCTAAGATCCTTCACACATGTCTAATTAAACTTTACATGTTGGTGCCTATTAATTTCTGTTGATGACTATTAATAATGTATTTTGTACTGATGTATGTCAGTGGGTTGCAGGGAGAGATCACTCTGTAGAATGACAATAATAAAGATGTATTTATTTTCATTACAAATGAGTGTGTCCTCTTTTCTAATGCATTCCTCTGCAATTTTTCACTTTCCCTTTAACAAAACTTGTTTTCATTATTATTTAATCAGTTAAATTACAAGAATAATTGTTTTCTTATTTGTGCAAAATGAGGGCACTAGCGGTATTCAACCTAAATTTCTCTGCTTCGGTAGTACCTTGACATTCATGAATTTCTGTAGAATAGAGAGTACAATGCACGGCATTTCAAGTTTGTAGTATTTTACTTTAAGTCGTCGGCATTATCATTTCCGCGAGATGGCTTTCCAATCTGTATTCTATGGTTTATAGCAAAGACGTTTATTTTAAAAACAGGAAGCAACGTTTAACCCGGAAGTATTATTAATCGAATTCCGCCACGAACAACACATATTTACTGGAGGGACCAAAGCTTGGTCTGGCAAAAAGGTAAGTTATTCAGACAAAGTTTGAAAATTTTGCATCCAAAATAAGTTACATGGAAAAAACAACGATCTCTCCCGTTTGTAGAGTCTAGAAATGTACATATTTTTGGTAAAGTAGCTAAATCTTTTATGGGCCTTAGCATATGAGCTAACGCTAAGTAATCTCAACACATGGTGATAAAACGGAAGGTTTATGTATAAAACATTTTAGTGTTCTCTTTGTAATATTACTCCAAATATAATAACCCAGTAAGTTATATTGTTTTACGTATTTGTGTTTCTTTTACTCAAATGTTAGCTATAGGTTAATGCTAAACTCAAGATTTGCGGTGAAAATGATATTGTGATTGGTCGAATTTAATACAAATTTGAACTAAGTTTAAATAAAAGCACATGACATTGAGATGTTTTAATCTATTAAATATGAATACATCGCAGTGCCACCACACATACAAGACACCGGGATTGTTGTGATACATACCAGTTACCATTGTGCACGCTCTGCATTTATTTAATTTTCAAAAAATCACTGTTCATCTTTGTGCATTGTTTTGTTTAACATTATATGAAAACCTTTTATGATATAATATCATATATATATATATATATATTGAAAAATGTAGTTCCGTTCAAATTGCTTTCAGTTATGGGTAAAATTCCACTTATTTTAATTGGTTTTCATTCAACGTTGGTTTAAAAATGTGATGTTTGGTCTGATTTCAAAACTATTTCTGATCAACTGACAAGTGAAACTGCTCAGCACTTAATAAAGATATATTAGTAAAACTTGTTAAGGCTGTGTAAAATGCCTCTGTGATGCATCTTCACTTGTGTTTTTCTTTATAAATTTAAATCTTACTGAAACAATAACACCTGTCCTTTAGCTTGTCAAATTAGACATTTTACTGATTTTAAATATCATTATATTTTTATTTAAGCCAGAATATAATTCTTTTAGGGAATGGACTCTCCAGACAGAAGTCAAAGCCCTATTACTATACAAGAGAACCACAATGGTAAGTTGATTCTTGTATCAGTTTCAATAAGTAGCAGCAAACATAGTGTTTTGTGTTTTTTAATCATCTATGTGTTTATACAGAAAAGGGGTCCACAAATATTGACCCGGTTGAGAGAAGTCCCAAAGACAAGACTTCACCACAGGCTAGTCCTGCAGCCCACCCACGTTCCAGGAGCTCAGCATCAAACAGCTCAGATAGCAGCAGCAGTGGCAGTAGTAGTAGTGATGAAGAGGATGAAAATAATGGAGCCATGAAGAAGATGAGGAGCAGTGTGGCCCAGATCAAAGTAAACACTAATAGAAGTACCGTTAATCTAAATGTCAATTATGCTTTTGGTCTTACAATCAGGTTTAAACATGAATGCTGAAAATAATTGTTTTCTGTTTAATACTTGAATATTTTGTTTTTGTTTCCCGTTGGAAAAGTGTTTTTACCTACATAAACTACAATCTTACAATTAAATGATGCTATTTTATAAGTTTAACCCAGTCTGATCTTTCAAATATCATGTTAAAAATATTTTTAATATATAAATATATAATTTAAGTGATCAAATGTTAAGCATGTTGTTCACTGATTGAAAATTATTTTAAACTTCTAAGACCTGTCCTTACAGATTGGAATCATTTTGATTTTTTGCAGAGACCTCCATCCAGGTCTGGCTCTGTAGAACAGGATAAATCTAAATCTAGATCCAGGTCTCAAGAAAGATCCAAATCCAAAGAAAGAGACAGATCCTCTTCAAGAGGACGTGAAAAAAACAGATCCGGATCTAGAGAAAGATCCAGCTCCAAGGGTCAAGACAGATCCAGGTCCAGATCCAGAGGAAAAGACCGATCCAGGTCTAGGGGACGAAACAAATCAAGATCCAGATCCAGGGGAAAGGAGAGGTCCAGGTCTTGGGGACGGGATAGATCTAGGTCCAGAGACAAAGTGCGAGACAGAGGACGCTATATGAGGTGATAATTAATGAAGATGCTTTATTTTACGGTATGGTTTTAATTTAAATGTGCCCTTTAATTTGGGTTATTTTACAATGATGCTTAGTTAATTTAACAATTTAAGTTAGGATTCAGTGTATTTATACAGATCTTTTTGCAAAGGTTTGTATTATTTCAATCCTAATTTAAGTGCCGTATAAAATAAATGTTGCTCAAATGTTTTATTCTATACTCAGAGATCGCTATGACGATCGGCGTAACGACAGGAATGGGCGCCTGCCCCGACGAATGGATGCTGAGTCAGATCGCAGGAGGCGCGGACGCTCGGGTTCCACCCCTGCAGACAAGGAGCCAGCGGCAGCTGACGAGCCCCCGGTCAAGAAAAAGAAGGAGGAGCTCGACCCAATTCTGACAAGAACTGGTGGAGCGTACATCCCTCCAGCTAAACTGCGTATGATGCAGCAGCAGATTACAGACAAGAGCAGGTGACAGTTTTTTTTATATATATATTTATTATGTTAACTGTTATTGGTTCCAATCAACTCTGATAATTTACCTTTTACTGATACTCTTTCTCCTGTGCAGTCTGGCCTATCAGAGGATGAGCTGGGAGGCTTTGAAGAAGTCAATCAACGGGTTGATCAACAAAGTGAATGTGTCCAACATTGTCAACATCATCCAGGAGCTGCTGCAAGAGAACGTTGTCAGAGGAAGGTAGCCGTCAGAACACACTCACAATCGTCAACACAAACGTTGTGATTGTTGAAATGTTTTAGTTGTGTCTTGCTAAAGAATTGTAGCTTTTTTCGAACAACAACAGCTTGACTGGTTGTTTCTATATATATATTGCACCTGTGTTGCACTTCTATGCATTATTATCATTGGATGTGACATGTCCTTTTTTCTTCTGTTGTTGTTTATTTGTTAAGGAGTTCCATTTGAGCAAATCTGAACTGTTTATTTAATTGTTTTGTTCTTGACAATGTTTTTGAACAATGTAGATTTATGTTCATGTAATTGATTTGCAAAATGAAGCTTTATCAAGCTTTATCAGTTCACTACTACCAAGACGGATACGCTGCTCCATTTACATTCTTAGAACCTACTGCTACAAATTAATTTGGGTATTTATTGGTGGATTTGAAATTTACATTTAATTATGTATTGACAATTGTTTAATGAAAATTTAGGAATACGTTTGCAATGGTAAATCAATCAAATATGAGCTACTCTGAGGTCCCTAACTCCCTACTGTCCATCAACAATCCTCTCATCTGTCTGTCAGGGGTCTCCTGGCTCGGTCAGTGCTGCAAGCTCAGGCTGCGTCTCCCATCTTCACTCACGTCTACTCTGCTGTTGTCGCCATCATCAATTCCAAGTTCCCTCAGATTGGAGAGCTGATCCTCAAGCGCCTCATCCTGACCTTCAGGAGGAGCTATCGTCGCAACCTCAAGGTACCTGTCTCTTACCTTACTTGTACATGATGTAGGTATATATGGTTAAAACCATGTAATTTTAAGTTATATAACATGGGAAAATGAATGAAAATCAAAGTAGTTATAAAAGCTTTCATCTCAAACAAACCCTTACCGAGCAGCGTCTGACAGTCAGTGTAATGGTAATAAGGTTGCTGTAATATAACTATGCTTGTTTTTCCATTTTGCAGCAACAGTGCCTGACAGCCTCAAAGTTTGTGGCTCACCTCATCAACCAGAACGTGGTACGGCATACCGTCTGACATTAAAACTTCTGGAGAGTGTGAATGTTCAATGGTTGGCTCT